ACCCTCGAGGGGTAATACTACGGTACTGTACTACTTAGGCCTGTACCGTGGGTATGTAGTATAATAAGTACAGTGCGCACCGTACGTTCCCAAAGCGGAGATGGCGTATCGCGGTGTGCAAGCTCTAGAACCTTAAGTACTAGTAGTACGTACGTACGTAGTTAGGTAGGGTACGGTAGGTACTAGTAGGTAGGTACTACGTAGATAGGTAGGTCACACCCCTACAGGTACCCCCACCCCCACTGACCTTTCGCGCGCTGCCGACGACGTTGCCGTCATCCTTCTCAGCCGGGTGAGCCGGTCCTTCCGAGACGACGACGGCGGACGGCGGACGGCGGAGCCGATGCCGATGCCATGCCGATGCCGAACACCACCAGCGCGACGCGACGATCAGGCCGTACGACACGGCGACGGCGCCCCCGGACGCGGACGGATGGCCTTCGCGGGCGGGGACACGAGGAGAAGGCGAGCCGGCACGCCGGCGCACTGCAGGCCGATGAGAGGATGAGGATGAGGTAGGTGCCAGCCATGCCGTGCGGTACCCTACCGTACCCGACCTTGCCGCGCGGGCTCTTCCACGGCGTCGCGTCGAGGGAGAGCTGGATTGGGGATCTCCCGAGCCGGGCCCGACCCAGCCAGCTCTCGGCTGTTTTGTCTCTGCTGCTGTCAGCCCCCTCCATAGCTGTACTGCCAAAGCAAGCAGATCCTGCAACCGCGCTGCAGGATCTCGGTCTTGTCAGCTTTCGGAAGAATACCTTTTTCGTCGTGGTAGAGGTATATCCCAATGCGAACGCCTCGTTCGAAGACCACGGCGCTGAAGCAGCAATCTCACACGTCGCCCGGCCGAGCAGCGGCAGCAGCGGCAGCAGCAGCAGCCGAAGGCCGTGGTGCCGAACGTCCGTCAGCGCGTGCTGTCGGCGCCGTTGACTAGGTACGGCTCCTGCTGGCCCCCTGGCGCCGGTGTGGTGTGGTGTTGTTGGGCGCGTTCCAGATGTCCGGCTGCGTGAAGGAGATGAGGCCCTCAACGACGACGACGACAATGTTGAAGACCAGGCTGCGGCAGGACCGGGTCAGCGGAACGGGTCGGTTTGGAGACGGGCTTGGGCTTGGGTGTGGGAGTGAGAGAGAGAGTGGGCTAGGGCGTGGATCGCATCGTAGCAAGCTCGTTGCAAGACTCCTGGTCGACGCCAACTGCTGCCGGCCCGGGATCGAGATCGAAATCTTGGTTGTCCATCATCGATCGCCATTTGAAAGACCAATGGCGAACTGACTCTCTCTTCCTCTTCCATTTCCCTCTCCTCTTTCTCTCTTCTCTCTCCCTCTTCTCTTCTCTTCTCTCGTTCCTTCTTCTCTCCGACTTTGCTCAGCCGTACCAGACCAGAGCACAGCAGAGCAGAGCAGACCCAACCCAACCCAACTCCCGCCATCTGTGTCTGTGTCTGTGTCTGTCTCTGGTTCGAGGGTTTCAAATCCCCCATACCTACCTACCTACCTACCTACCTACCTCCCTCCCTCCCTCCCATAACGCCCCTCTCTCCCCCCAGATATCAACAGCCAACACCACGGAGCTGATGCTTACAGAGTACAGCAGAGCCAGCAGGGACCAGCAAGGCCAGTAGGACCAATACGGAAAAAAAAAATCCACTAATATATTCTCAGCGCTGAAAGCCGAGTCGCTCGATCCGGACCTACCTCTCTACAAACTATCATGGTTGAAGGAAGCCAACGATGGCTTCGGCGGACGAAAAACGGGGGGGTTTTTTTTTTTTTTATTGACTGTGAGAAGCTCTTCCCCCCCACACCCCTTTTTTTTTCCCCTTTTTTTTTTTCTTCTCAAGAAAGAAGCTATGGGATGAAGGGTGAAGGATGAGCTTATTAGGTATCTCGTCTCGTCTCGTCTTATCCCGTCTTATCCCGTCTATAAATCAAGCCTTTCATTTCTTCCTTCTCTCCCTTTTCTTCCGTCTCTTCCCTTCCTTTTTTTTTCCTTCTCTTCCCTCCCTCTCTTCCTTTCCCCCCCTTCCCTCTCTTCCTCTTCCCTCCCTCCCTCCTCCCTCCCCCCCCCCCTCTCTTCCTTTTCTTTTTTCATTTCTCTCCCAAATCAAAAAAGAAGAAGCGCGAAGAAAGCAAAAGGCTTTATTTTATTTCATTTCATTTCACGCACGCACGCACGCACGCACGCATTCTTTCTTTCCAAGGCGGAACCGGTGCTTTCGGATTTGCGGATTTGCGGATCGAGGAGAAAGGGCGATTGCATTCCGTGCGGAGTGGGTGAGTAGGGGAGTAGGGGGGTGAGGGGTAAGTAGGTGAGTATTTGTTGTCTCTTGAGGGGGTTTTTGTTTGGTGATTTGGGCGGGGGAAATTGGAGGAGGGGAGGGGGGAAGGGAGCGCAAGGCACGTCGTATATGAGGATTCG